CAGGAGACAGTGAGTTCTAGTCCTGCCCTAGACATGCAAGCTGGTTGTGTTATTTTGAGCCAATCACCAGGAGACGCTGAGTTCTAGTCCTGCCCTAGACATGCAAGCTGGTTGTGTTATTTTGAGCCAATCACCAGGAGACAGTGAGTTCTAGTTCTGCCCTAGACATGCAAGCTGGTTGTGTTATTTTGAGCCAATCACCAGGAGACGGTGAGTTCTAGTCCTGCCCTAGATATGCAAGCTAGTTGTGTTATTTTGAGCCAATCACCAGGAGACAGTGAGTTCTAGTCCTGTCCTAGACATGCAAGCTGGTTGTGTTATTTTGAGCCAATCACCAGGAGACGGTGAGTTCTAGTCCTGTCCTAGACATGCAAGCTGGTTGTGTTATTTTGAGCCAATCACCAGGAGACGGTGAGTTCTAGTTCTGGCCTAGATATGCAAGCTGGTTGTGTTATTTTGAGCCAAACACCAGGAGACGGTGAGTTCTAGTCCTTCCCTAAGCATGAAAGCCAGCTGGGTGACTTCGGGCCAATCTCCAGGAGATCGGGAATTCTAGTTCCACCTTCGACATGAAAGTCAGCTGGGTGGCTTTGGGCTAATCCTTCTTTCTCAGCCAAACCCACCTGAGAGGGTCGTTGTGAGGAAAAACAGGAGGAAGAAAGAATATTATGTATGTTCTCTACCTTGAGTTATTTATAAAGCAATAAAAGCTGGATAAAAATCTAACACAGCCACGACTCCATCACATCCCTTGAATTTCAAAATCCCCCTTACAGGTGAATTAAAGGTAAGTATTTTTTTTGCAAGCGGCTGAGAAGTTCACTGGTGTTGTATTCACGATGCTTTGACTTAAAGTTAAAGTTTAAAGTTTAAAGTTAAAGAGTTAAAGTTTTTTGGATGGTTATCAATATCAGAATGATTACTCTTCCTTCATAAGAGAAATAATTCGCTTCTGAAAAATTATTACTCTGCTGCCCTCTGCCGGTCGACTAAAACAGAGAGCGATCCCCACCCACCCCCCATTAAACTGAGTTAAACGGGAAAGATTCTGTTACTATAGACTCCACCGATCAATAAAGTAGAATTGCAGACAAATCTGTGGAGTCTATGCTTTCATTTGGCCTACCCCAAGGGGCTAATATTGGTCTTGAAAACCTGACTGTGTTTTCCCTTCTCTCCTTATTATGAATTAGGGTAGAGCCAATCCAAATTTCTTTCTCTGATTCCAGGGCTTAAATCATACTATTGTATGATCATACTTTATCATACTAAGGCATAGTCTTTACATGGTTTTCCCAACATCATCTTCAGAGCTTACATGCCTAAGGCAGGGCTAGAACTCACAGTCACCTGGTGCTTGGCCCAGGGTCACTCAACTGACTTTCATGCCTAAGGCAGGGCTAGAACTCACGGTCACCTGGTGCTTGGCCCAGGATCACTCAACTGACTTTCCTGCCTAAGGCAGGGCTAGAACTCACGGTCACCTGGTGCTTGGCCCAGGATCACTCAACTGACTTTCCTGCCTAAGGCAGGGCTGGAACTCACAGTCACCTGGTGCTTGGCCCAGGGTCACTCAACTGACTTTCTTGCCTAAGGCAGGGCTAGAACTCACAGTCACCTGGTGCTTGGCGCAGGGTCCCTCAACTGACTTTCATGCCTAAGGCAGGACTAGAACTCACAGTCACCTGGTGCTTGGCCCAGGGTCACTCAACTGACTTTTGTGCCTAAGGCAGAGCTAGAACTCAGTCACCTGGTGCTTGGCCCAGGGTCACTCAACTGACTTTCATGCCTAAGGCAGGGCTAGAACTCACAGTCACCTGGTGCTTGGCCCAGGGTCACTCGACTGACTTTCGTGCCTAAGGCAGGGCTAGAACTCACAGTCACCTGGTGCTTGGCCCAGGGTCCCTCAACTGACCTTCATGCCTAAGGCAGGACTAGAACTCACAGTCACCTGGTGCTTGGCCCAGGGTCACTCAACTGACTTTTGTGCCTAAGGCAGAGCTAGAACTCAGTCACCTGNGAAAGAAAGAAAGAAAGAAAGAAAGAAAGAAAGAAAGAAAGAAAGAAGGAAAGAAGGAAAGAAAGAGGAAAGGGAGGAAGGACCACAAACCTGGCACTAGACACAACTTCGGAAGATACCTTGAAAGAACACAGCAATCCAGGGCTGGAAGGAACCTGGAGGTCATCTAGTCCAACCCACTGCTCCAGCAGGACATTGTTAAAGTGAGTTTCTGTATTTTGGCCCCCGTCACATGACTACATAGCCACGCCCACCCAGTCTACTACCACCACCACCAAGCCACACCCACAGAACTGGTAAGAAAAAATTTAGATTTCACCACTGGAACAAACTCCACACTCATTAGTAATGACGGGGTTACCTACTTAACATCCACAAGCAAACAACCAAGGATCAGACCACACCAAGATCCCAAGGTTATATAAGGAACGACTGCAAAATAGCAGGCAATGTTTTCATGGAAATATATATATATATAAACTACTAATCCGAAGGCAGAAGGGATAATAATTCAAACCTCACTTTCTCACCCTCTGTTCTCGGAACAATAATTGACACGGTGCATTTAACCGATTCTCTATGAAGCCTTGGAACCTGCAAAGTGGCGTGTTTTTAATAGCTCAATTGCAAGCACTCTAGCCAAAGTCGTGCTGAAATTACCCTTGATGATTTCTCGGTAAGCACAGATACACATACAATTATTAAAAAAAAAAATGACAACTGCAAATCAGATCTGCCAAAACAATAGCAAAGCAAAGGAAATAATAGCATGTGACAGGCTGACAGGGGGCCCCATATGGCAGCACCAATAAATGTTCACAGTTTCAGACAAACAAACTTGAGTGAAAGGAATTTGGCTCCCTTGATGCTCCTCTGACATTCTTCGGCGGTGGGAAATTAATCCTGGTCTCTCCATGGTCCATGGACCCGCATCCTTTTCGCGGGACGATTGAGCAAAACGTGATAAAACCTCGGCGCAGATGGCGTGTACACTTCCCAATGAATGCCCATAAGGTCCCTTCTCTGACAAAACTGGAAACCAAGCCCAGCGAAACAGCAGGCGTCCCTTCCGGACACGGTAGACAGAATGCAAACTGTGTTTTTGGCATTTCGCAGCAGATGGGGTTGGCAAACATTTGCAAACTGTTGAGAGGCTTCCAAGGGATCGGTCTTCATTGAGAAGTACTTGGGAGCCAAGTCAGGAGGATCGATGGCTTTAAGGATTCCGCATAGTTTTATCTATTTATTTCGTTTGTCAAACATGTACAAGATAGCAGGTATAAGTATGAACATGGACATGAACGAAAGAAATGAATACAAATAGATGGGGACAGTATAGGACAGGGACGGTAGGCACGCTGGTGCGCTGATGCACGCTCCTTTACGGACCTCTTAGGAATGGGGTGAGGTCCACGGTGGACAGTTTGAGGTTGAAGATGTGGGGGGTTTGAGGATGTAACAGCAGAATCAGGTAGGGCATTCCAGGCGTTGACCACTCTGTTGCTGAAGTCGTATTTTCTGCAATCGAGTTTGGGGCAGTTTACCTTGAGTTTGTATCGATTGTTTGCCCATGTATTATTGCGGTTGAAGCTGAAGAAGTTGTTGACAGGTAGGATCTTGTAGCAGACAATTTTGTGTACTATGCTTAGGTCAGACCGTAGAAGGTGTAGTTCGAGGTTGTCCAAGCACAGGATTTCGAGCCTGGTGGCATAAGGGATTCTGTTGTGAGCAGAGGAGTGGAGGACTCTTCTCGTGAAATACCTCTGGATCTGCTCGATCGTATTAATGACCGATATACAGTGTGGATTCCAGGCAGACGAGCTGTATTCGAGGATTGGTCTGGCAAAGGTTTTGTACACCCTCGTTTGCAATACCGTGTCACTGGAGAAAACGTTTTGCAAAATTAGGGTTCTGGTTTCAAGCAGGTTCATAAAAAGGCTCTGAGATTTAGTTAAATAAATAAAATAAAACCTTTTCTTGCAGGAAGAGCCTACCAAAAAGTGGAAGAGTTGCAACGTCTCCTAGAAGTGGCCGTCAGCAACTTCAAGCAGCTTGGAGGCATCACTCCCCAGGAAAGGCAGACCAAACTCGATGAGAAAAGGTTTGAAAGGTA